CTAAAAATAAATCTAGCGCTAAATCTCATCTTTGCTCAAACAGGTTGACACGTCTAGTTTGCGCTTCCTGACCTCAGAAATTTTCATTTAGATAAGCTGTTATAGAAAAGAAAAAGAAAATCTCCATCCATCCATCCATCCATCCATCCATCATCTGTTTATTTATTTTTTTGTTTTATTCTTTGTTTTATTTGTTTTGCTTTTTTATTAAATTGTTTTTATTTAGTTTGTTTTATTTTGCTTTATTTCATTTACTTTTATTCATTTTATTTTTATTTTATTTTAAATGTTATTTAGTATTATTTGTTTTGCTTTTTCATCTATTTTATTTTTTTATTAATTGTATTTTTGTAGTTTGTTTTGTTTCATTTTGTTTCATTTATTTTATTTTATTAAACTTATTTTATTTTGATTTAAAATTTATTTTTAATAATGTTTTATTTTAATACATTTTATTTGTTTTGCTTTATTCCATTTTTTATGAAATTGTATTTATGTAGTTTGTTTCGTTTTGCTTTATTTCCTTTATTTTGTTTTATTTATCTTGTTTGTTTTGCTTTATTTCATTTATTTTATTTTATTTATCTTGTTTGTTTTGCTTTATTTTATTTTATTTATTTTGTTTGTTTGCTTTATTTTATTTTATTTATTTTGTTTGTTTTGCTTTATTTATTTTGTTTGTTTTGCTTTATTTCATTTATTTTATTTTATTTTATTAGTTTTTTTCCATTTATTTTATTTTTTTGTTTGTTTTGCTTTATTTCATTTATTTTATTTTATTTATCTTGTTTTGCTTTATTTTATTTTATTTATTTTGTTTGTTTGCTTTATTTCATCTATTTTATTTATTTTGTTTGTTTTGCTTTATTTTATTTATTTAGTTTGTTTTGCTTTATTTTATTTATTTTGTTTGTTTGCTTTATTTCATCTATTTTATTTTATTTATTTTGTTTGTTTTGCTTTATTTTATTTATTTATTTTATTTGTTTTGCTTTATTTTATATGTTTTGCTTTATTTCATTTTTTATTTTATTTGTTTTGTTTTGCTTTATTTCATTTTTTATCAAATAATTGTGTTTCTTTTTATTTCTTTGTTTTATTTCTTTGTGTGATTTTATTAGTTTTGCTTTATTTCATTTATTTTATTTTATTTATTTTGGTTGTTTTGCTTTATTTTATTTTTTTTTGTTTGCTTTGCTTTATTTCATTCATTTTATTTATTTAGTTTGTCTTGCTTTACTTCATTTTTTTATTTGTTTTGCTTTGCTTTATTTCATTTTTTATCAAATAAATTTATTTCTTTTTTATTTCTTTATTTATTATTATTTTTTTATTTCATTTTATTTTTAGTTTGCAAAGGAATCCCATGCTCCCCTGTAAAAATATTCTTCAGTATTTTCAATATTTCAATACAACAGTATTTTATTTTAATCTTGTTGTGGCTGCTGTATTTTTTATATAAAAAAAAATTCATACTCATAAAACTGAGGTATTTGGTGTTTTATTTAAAAATAAATGTCGATGTATTTTGCCCATCCTTACACATTACTACACTAAATTTCACAAGCATTCAACATAACTCTTTTCAAAAATAAATGGCTCCTGTTTTGCAGAACGAACACACACACACACACACACACACACACACACACACACTAAAAAGAGTAAATGTTTGTGAAATGTAATTACAAAAGAAATAAAGAGTGGTGCTTTATCGTATATTTTTGCATTAGATGTTCAGCGCTCGCTCATTGTGTAGTGCTGCAATTATCCACTAGAGCTTGAAAACCACTGCAGTTTTAGCAGTAATGCTGGCCATTTAATGGACAGGAATGTTGGGACTCTTTGAAGTGCTCGAGTTTTTTTGTTGTTGTTTTCAAAGCCTCCTTTGTAGCCGGCAACAATTTGGAATGCATGCTTCACAAGCAAACTGCAGAGGCAACAGCTGATGAATAGCGAATCACACTAACTAAGCCTGGCTGATTCTGTCAGAAAGACAGCAGCCCTCCTGAAGGACAAAACACTGGTGATCATGTTCTTCTTAATCATCATGACAGCGTAACTAAGGACGTCATTGAACACACTGTATGGATTTTAGGGTTTTTTCTTAAACAAGGTGAACATAGCGTTTAGATTCAGGTTTAAGTGTGGCATTATGGGTTAGATTAGAGCACACAGAGAATGGCTTTGTGTTCATTCTGTTTATAATAATGACTGATCATTCAAATTTATAGACTTACATTGGGGTTTTTGTATTGGTAGCGAGCCAACATTTAGTAGTTGACATTTGGTTCAGCATTAGTTTAGTTTAAATCAGGGGCGTTGATAGACATAAAGCTCTACTAGGGCTAAGCACCCCTTTAAAAAAAAAAAAAAAAAAATCAAGATATATATATATATATATATATCTTTTTGTTTTAATTAATTAATTAATTTTTTTGGAGAGGGTGCTGTGCCCTATGTGTGTGTGTGTGTTTTTTAATATATATGTTAATATATGTTTTAATATATATTCTAAATCAAAAAATATATATTTAAAAATAAATAACAGAGCTATTGTTATTATGCAATTACTATTCTATTATTAGAAATAAATAACAGAAATTAATACTAAATATAACTGGAAAATAATCTCAAGACTATCTATCCATCCATCCATCCATCCATCCATCCATCCATCCATCCATCCATCATCTGTTTATTTATTTTTTGTTTTATTCTTTGTTTTATTTGTTTTGCTTTATTAAATTTTATTTATTAAATTTGTTTTATTTTGCTTTATTTCATTTATTTTAATTCAATTTATTTTATTTTTAGTATTATTTTATTTTAAATTTTATTTAATTTTATATGTTTTGCTTTTTCAACTATTTTATTAAATTGTATTTATGTAGTTTGTTTTGTTTTACTTTGTTTAATTTATTTTATTTTATTAAACTTATTTTATTTTGTTTAAAATTTAAAAAACATTTTTTTAATAATGTTTTATTTTCATTCATTCCTTTTCTTGTCGGCTTAGTCCATTTATTAATCCGGGGTCGCCACAGCAGAATGAACCGCCAACTTATCCAGCAAAAATGTAAAGAAATCTGTGTTTTATAAATTAAAAAAGACAGCAGAAGTCGATGATTCCTTTTCATTATTCAGCTTAACATGTTTACCATTCCAAAACACTATAAATGTTTCTCAAAATAAAATATTTTGTGTTCAAAGGAGAAAAAAAGATTTAGGGCCCTATCATACACCCGGCGCAGTGTGGCGCAAAGCGCGGCGCAATAGTCTTTTGCTAGTTTCAGCTCGGCGCAAGAGTGGTTTTGAGGCGTTGCGCTACGCTGTTTAAATAGCAAATGCATTAGCGCTCATTTGTGCGTCCATAGGCATTCTGGTCTAAAAAGGAAGGCGTTCTGAGGCGGACCGCTGGCGCGTTGCTATTTTGAGAAACTATAATAGATTTTTCATTAGATCAAAACTAACCCGGTCTAAACTCCAGCGCAGAGTTGCGCCTCGCTTACACACTCGCTTAGAGCAATAGGCAAATATCTTTACATATGAAAAAATTTAAATATTACGGATATATATAGGATATAATAAGAATAGATATAGGATATAAATATAAAGGATTAAAATATTACAAAACATATTATTTTCTAGCCTACATAAATATTAAAAATCACTGCTTTTATGTCTTCTTCATCTCGGGAGGCTTTTTCAGTTCATTCATAACAATTTGCTTTTGTAAAATGTCATTATTATTAGCAGTATTATTTATTATATCCATATTTATATTTGTTTAATTAAAACAAGCTTAGATTTGTCCACCTGTCAGGTTTTAGACCATATGAGGCACAGCATGTGTTTTAATATAACTCAGTATTTTGACCAAACTTGGTCATTATTGTTCATTTATTTGTTTGCTGGAAATTAGAACTGAATTTAGAAATAGTTTTGAAACGAATATTTGCGCTTAACAAACGAAATTAATTATTTATAGGCTAATCGATGTCTGTGCGTAAAGGTTTCCCTATCCAAGAGCGAAAGTGAAAGTAGATCCATTATCTCTCATTCTCATGCAGTAGATGCTCTGTTTAACAGTTTTCTGTTAAAAAACTGTTAACTGTTAACTGTTTGCTTGTGAAATGCTCAGTTTTTACCACTTAGACTTACTTTGCGTCCTGTAAATAGCAAATGCGCTCTTGACACAACGCAGCTGACTCTTAAAGGGAATGGGAGATGAGACTCTAATTGGTTTATTCTCAAAACACACCTATAACTCATTAAGAAAATGAACTCAACCCTTTTAGACCATGCGCCACAGTGCAAAGCGGATTTTCCCGTCCTTAAATTAGCAAAAATGCGTTCTGACACGCCCTGAAATCGTTTGCGCTTTGCGCTCTGCGCATGGACCGTCAAAATAGATCCCTCAGTTTTTTACCCAGACATTTAAAAAAGACATTTTAGAGCAGTGATCACAATACCGAGAAACCCTGACCTTTTATTCCAGATTATCACACGATCAGAATCTCATACCGGCTCATGCATTTTTGATACATATTGTAATGAACCTAAATGCTATGATTGGGTTTGATAATGTTCATAAGCATGACTTTGTATGACTGTCGCAAAAAAACAGCAACTTCTGAAATCAATATGTAGGTTTCACACGTTCAGCCTGCATCATGGGAGGTAAAAACTGCAGCTCTTCAGACGTCTGCATGGCATTGTTTTAGATTCACCTTTCTAAGAATCTATTGTTAGACAGTCACACTGAATACTACCCGTGTTTCTTTTTCCTGGTTTTAGATTCATCAGGGTGTATTCATGCAACGGCGCTGTCGATCCGGTATTTTCACTTAATTAAATTGAGTGGCAGTATTAAATCGGCGTAGCATTGATTTAGTTCATAAAACTGAAGGCAGTTTGTGCGAGTGTGGGGGCGGACGTGGGTGGACGTGTGATTTGTACTTACAGACCTGCCATATTGCTAATAAGAATTTACCTTTGTCTTCTTTACAGGGTTTGAAAGCATTTTGGAGGGGCTGTTTGGACCAGGACTCGTAAGAGATCTTACCCTCTTTCAAGGTCAGTGTTGCAGTGGGATGATTACAGTGATTATTACTTTAAGTCTTGGCAGCGTCTACAGTTTCAGTAAAGATTTCAAAACCTGCCATTTATTATTATGATGCATTTGTTGCAGCGCTTATGCCAAAACACCTTATTGGTTTTAGTTTTTCTGTTGAGAATGAAACCAAAAGAAATGAGAGTGTCAGATGCACCCGTCAACCCTCCCGTTTTACCCAGGATTTTCCCATATTTTACAAATCTATCCCGGTATCATCGTCTAAAGGTATTCATTCATTATTCATTCATTCATCCATTCATTTTTTACCGATTTTCCGGGGCTGGATCACGGGTGCAGCAGTCTTAGGAGAGAACCCCAGACTTCCCTCTCCTCAGACACTTCCTCCAGGGGGATCCTGAGGTGTTCCCAGGCCAGCTGAGAAGCATAGTCCCTCCAGCATGTCCTGGGTCCTCCCCGAGGTCTCCTCTTGGTGGGACATGCCTGGAACGCCTCCCTAGGTAGGCGTTAAGGAGGCATCCGAAACAGATGGCCAGTCCACCTCAGCTGACTTCTGTGGATGTGGAGGAGCAGCAGCTCTACTCCGAGCTCCTCACCGTATCTATAAGGGTGCGCCGTGCCACCCTGCGAACACTCTCAGAACTTAAGCCTGGTTTATACTTCTGCGTCAAGTGACCGGCGTAACTCACGGCGCAGGCAACGCCCGTAGCTGTGCATTTATACTTCTGCGCGCTGTCTCTGTTGGTCTGCATTAACACTTCGCTGCTGTTTTGCTTTTCCTGAACACTTCCTGGTTGTACAAGTGACTCAAACTCGCTCATTTTGAGGCAGGAACCGGCGGAAATGCAACAACTTTAACTATGAGGTAAACACAAAACAAAACTTTCCATCCGGAGCTCCTTCACGGGACTCCACACTTGTAAACAATCGCTCACGCCATTCGCGCGGCTCTCTGTCCCGCCCAGACTCGTCAGCGCTACCAAGCCGACCAATTACAGAGCTTGCGCTACGCGTCGTTGCGACGTGTAGTTACAATTTTTGAGAGGTGCACGTCAGCCACGCCGACGGCCACGGCGAAGGGCTATGCGTCAGCGCCGTAGCATACGCCGGCGTTTGACGCAGAAGTATAAATCAGCCTAAGGTAAACAAGCTGTCACTGAGGTGATACCTTTTCGAAAGGTCCATATTAATACCTCAAGGGTACATATTAGTACCTAAAAAGTACAAAAGTGTTCCTCTTAAAATTTTTAGGTACTAATTATATAAATTGAAGGTACAAATATGGAACCTTCAAGTGCAAATGAGTACCTTTTGAAAAGGTACCACACCAGTGACAGCTTTGCCTTTCAGCTGAGCTCCTTCTTTACCACAACGGACCGGTTGTCAGTTTCTGTGCCTGACGATAGGGTTGTCATGGTCCTAACATTTCCACAATGCACCCATTCCACAATGCACTGCACCTTACAGCTCCCCTGGTAGGGAGTGGGCCTGCAGGATGGTCCCATATTGCTCCTTTGAGCTAAGCCTGGCCGGGTTCCATGGGGAAAAAAACCTGGCCACCAGGTACTCTCATATGAGCCCCAACCCCAGACCTGGCTCCAGGGTGGGTCCCCGGCTGCGCCATACCGGGTGACATCTCGGTCCTCGATGTTATTGTACTCATAAGTGGTTTTTGAACCGCACCTGTCTCCTATAACCTTTTTTTCCTTGGGAGACCTTACCAGGGGCATTAGCTCTTAGGATCACTCAGGCAGTCAAACCCCCCCCACCACAATAAGGTTGTGGTTCATGGAGGACTCTGAAGGTATTTCCCCCGTATTTTTAATTTTTCTATGAAGGGTGGCATTAAAAAGGCAATTTCCCCATATGCAACCCATACCACCAAACCACCAGGGGACGCCCCTTGCCCTTAAATGTGAATCTGTTCTGTGCTTTCATTTTATTTAGGCATGAAAACATTTTGAAATAAATATAAAAATGGCTTTGATTCCCTTCCTTTCCATTACAGGCACCGTCGCCCCTCCTATCCTCAAAACAGTCAGTTCATGTAGCGGTGCGTGACTGTCAGACGCGCTCCATAGTAATAAATAGACGCTGCTTCCCATACAAATTCTGTACACGTGATTTGAAGCAGAGCAAAAGTGGATTTCGTTGCATTTGAACAAACATACAAATACTACTACTACTACTACTAATAATAATAATAATAATAATAACAACAATAATAATAATGGCGAGGCAGTGGCGTAGTAGGTAGTGCTGTCGCCTCACAGCAAGAAGGTCGCTGGGTCGAACCTCGGCTCAGTTGGCGTTTCTGTGTGGAGTTTGCATGTTCTCTCTGCCTTCGCGTGGGTTTCCTCCGGGTGCTCCGGTTTCCCCCACAGTCCAAAGACATGCGGTACAGGTGAATTGGGTAGGCTAAATTGTCCGTAGTGTATGACAGTGTGTGTGTGAATGTGTGTGTGGATGTTTCCCAGAGATGGGTTGCGGCTGGAAGGGCATCCGCTGCGTAAAAACTTGCTGGATAAGTTGGCGGTTCATTCCGCTGTGGCGACCTCGGATTAATAAAGGGACTAAGCCGACAAGAAAATGAATGAATGAATAATAATAATAGTAGGTGACGTGGTGACGCAGTAGGTTGTGCTGTCTCCTTACACCAAGAATATCGCTGGTTCGAGCCTCGGCTGGTTGTGTGTGGAGTTTGCATGTTCTCCCTGTGTTAACACGGGTTTCCCCCAGTCCAAAGACATGCGGTACAGGTGAATTGGGTTGGCTAAATTGTCCATAGTGTATGAGTGTGAATGAATGTTTTCCAGAGATGGGTTGCAGCTAGAAGGGCATCCGCTGCTTAAAACATATGCTGGATAACTTGGCGGTTTATTCCACTGTGGTTACCCCAGATTAATAAAGGGACTAAGCTGAAAAGAAAATTAATGAATGAATGAATAATCATAATAATAAAAACAACAACAACAATAACATCTAAACATGTTGATCTTGGTGGGTTATTTTTAAACGCAACAAATTTTATCTTAAATGAGCATAAAAAGTTAGGAAAGTAATCGAATGCTTTGATTGGTTTTTGGGAGCGACTGTCTTACCAGCCACAGCTGAAACCTACCCGCATTTGGCAGGTGTTAATGTCAAGCCCTGGTGTTAGAACATGTATAAAATTACATTGAAGGATGCTTGAATATCTCAGTCAATATTTAATGTTAATAACAGAACATGTTTGTGTCAAATATTTAACTTTAACTTAAAGTTAAATTTAATTTAGGTGTGAAAACCTAAAAACGTGTAATTTGTGTCAAAGGTTTGTGCAGTGCTATATAGACAAAGAATTTGACTGTGCTTTTATTATCGGAGTGATTATAAACTAATTCTAGCTTTAAATAAACTCATACATCATGGTTTGTTTTGTCCACTTAAGCAAAATTTCTAAATTCAGGAGGTGAAGGCCAGGTCATGTGATAGCCAAACAACATCTTAGTTGTGCACATTTAATGCTAAACGACTGAAACCTTCTTACTGCACCTTTTAAATAAACCCTTAAAGTCATTTTTATCAATTAAAATGACTAAAAACATTGTTGAAATTTGCATAAATTAAAATAAAAGTTGAAACCCGATTAACTTACTAAAATAAGCTAAAGTAACATCATGCTGTTATGACTTTTTGATCATATTTTTTTCTACACTTCACTCGCTCTACATTTCTGTTGAAAAGCATCGTCTTTTGTTCTGGTGTACCTCAGGGCTCTATTTTAAGACCCTAATTATTTGACAAAATTAAGCCCAGCTCATGTAGTTGCCAAACAACATTTCAGTTTTGCACATCTAATGCTAAACAGCGGAAACCTTCCTACTGCACCTTTTAAATAAACTGGGCATCAATTAAAATGACAAAAGACAACAGGTTATAATTTGCCTTAAAAAAAAGCTAAAACCTGATTAACTTAATAAAATAAGTCTAAGTAACATGATAACATATGTCTTCATGACTTTTTGATCATGATTTATCATTTATTAATTTTTTTCGGCTTAGTCCACTTATTAATTAGGGGTTGCCACATCGAAACGAACCGCCAACTTATCCAACAGCAGTGGATGCCCTTTAAGCCGCAACCCAACACTGAGAATCATTATTTATCATCATATTAAATTTCTTTGTTGAAAAACTGCTTCTTTTGTTCTGGTGTACCTCAGGGCTCTATTTTAAAACCCTAATTATGTGACAAAATAAAGTGCAGAAGTCTAATTGCTCATTAGGAGATCAATATTTTTAAACTGTTCACATTGTCTCTCTGAAGTTATGAAGGTTTGTTCACTCAAAATAGACATTCAGGAGGTGAAGCCCAGCTCATGTACTTGCCAAACAACATCTCAGTTGTGCACATTTAATGCTAAATGACTGAAACCTTCCTACTGCACCATTTAAATAAACCCTTGAAAACATTTGCATCAATTAAAATGACTAAAATATCAAGTTTTTATTTTCATAAAATAGAAAAAAAAACTGATTAACTTACTAAAATTAGTTAAAGTAACATCATAAGACATGTTGTCGTGACTTTTTGATCATTACTTATCATTATACAAAATTTCTTTGTTAAAAAGCAGCGTCTTTTGTTCTGGTGTACCTCAGGGATCTATTTTAAGACCCTAATTATTTGACAAAATTAAGTGCAGAAGTCTAATTGCACTTATCTGATCATTTTTTATTTAAAAAAATCTGTTCAAATGATCTCTCTCTGAAGTTGTTCATGACTAAAAACATCAAGTTATAATTTACATCAATTAAAAAAAAGTTGAAACATGATTAACTTACTAAAATAAGTCAAAGTAACATCATACCATATGTCCTTATGACAATTTGATCATGATTTATCATTCATTTTCTTTTTGCCTTAGTCCCTTTATTAATTAGGGGCTGCCACAGTGGAATGAACTGCCAACTTATCCAACATATGTTTTACGCAGTGGATGCCCTTCCAGCCGCAACC